GGCTGGACTGGAAATGTCTAGATGCATTTGGCTTCCAGGTAGATCCCACAGCCAGGTCCAGCAGTCCTTCGCAGTGTGCAGGTGCCATCCCCAGCCCCTGCAGGAGGAAACAGCATGAGGGCTTGACTTGGCATCTCCAACACTTTTAAAAGTGGGAGGGCCCTTTAAGAGTCCTTCAAGACCCGTCCCCGACCCACACACATTTTGTAGGTGGGGAAAGAAGGGCTCCAAGAAGGGAGGTGAACCACCCCGCGGTTTAGTGACAAGAGTGGGAGCACATGCCTCTCCCTGATCGTAGGGTCCCTGGGGACGGGGCCACCTTCTGGACCACGAGGATTCTTGGGACCCTGACTTCCACCAGTCAGGCTTCTTCATATCTGCAGCAGATCAGCACCCCAGCCCAGCCCCTGAAATGCTCACGTCTACCACAGCCTCCCAGCCGCCCAACAGCTCTCTGCTCAAGAAACAGGGTTTTGTTACATTGGGTGCCCTGCCCCCCGCCCCCTGCCAGCAAGCAGGCCCTATGGTGGTATCAGAAGAGCAGAAGAAATCCTCTATTTGTTTAAACCAAAATCAGGGCTGCTCCTGCCCAGAAGCAAACACTCAGAGTGGCCTGGCCTCGCCTGTCAACTCTTTAAGACACTGAGTAGTGAGCACTGAGGGTTCAGCCCAGTCACCGTCACCTTTCCCTCTGCACAGTGGCCACCTGTCCTCTCGAGGAGCGGGTGCACCAGGAGTTAAGAGCAGACACCGGAGCCCAGATGCCTGAGTTCACAGCTTTGGGCAACTCCTCATCTTCTCTGTGCCTCAGTTTGTCCAGCTGTAAAATGGACACAACTATAATGGTGACCTCCTAGGGCTGGTGGGAGGAGGAAGGAGTAAAGGGGACATGGTGAGGCTATGATGGGAGCAGCTAATGTACACATGGCCCTCGCCAGGCTTCCTCGTCCACAGAGGCCTCTGGATGCTGAGCAGCAGGCCCCAGTCCCACAAACCCACCACAGTCCCTGGCAAGTCACCACACACAACAATCCTCACCTGTCTGACCACGTGACATCATCACGTACGGGATCAAATCGACTTCGCAGTCATATTTTTGTCCAAGGATTTGGATCAAGAGCCTCGTGCCAATGCCAAGAATCTTTCCCAAACTGATTGGAGCTACAAAGCCTTCCTTAGGTCATAACAACCCCTACCTCAACTTCCCCATCCACTAGAGGAGGGGATTAATCCTTCTTGCCCAAGAACTGTGCAAGTCACAGGAGAAATGGGAGGCGTGTTCCTCCAGGAGGAGAGGATGCAAAAGACAGGGAGAGAGGGAGTGACGGGAACAGAGCAGCTACTTCCACCAGTTTCTGGTTCCAGCCCCTTGAGGCTGTCCCTGGGAGGCAAGGAGCCATTCGTGCTGCTGCTGAACCTGACTCATTCTAGACACTACACCATGAACAACACAGAGGTGAAAATGTCAAGACAATAAGACTCACTGCCGCCCTGCCAGCCTCCTAGGAGGCCAAGGCGCATTCATGGGTACAGGATGGGAGAGGCCTGCAGACAGCGGAGACAGGGCTCGGCTAGGTCCAGAAGGCAGTGAGCAGGCAGACTTCCCAAAGGAGAAGTGTTCACATGGAGCCTTGAGGAGCAGTGGGACACACTAGTGGGATTCCCAGGAGCATAGGTGGAGAAACAGGTAGGGTGACTAATCCAATTATGGCCAGCCTAAGGGTAAATAAAGGAAGAAGGCAGAACAGGAAAAAAAAACACAAACCCAAGCCAGACCCTGGGATTAAGCTACGAAGTTAGGCCCTTCAAGAGGCAGGCAATAGGAACCACTGAAGACTGAGCAAGGGACAAGGAATAGTGTGGTGACAAACGGAGAAAGACAGCAGACACAGCAATGAGGAAATCAGGGCTTAAACAGGTGGGAGATACAGCGACAACACTAAAGTAGAAAAGTATTCATTAAGCACTTACAGTTCTACTCTGTCCTATAGGGTCGCTATGAGTCAGAATCAACTTGACAGCAATGGGTTTGGTTGGGTTTTTTTGCGCCAGGCCTCACACTAGCCCTGACCCACCAGAGTTCACCTAACTCTATCTGCAGCCCTCTCTGGAGGCACCTTCTCACCCCACTTCAGAGACAAGTTCAACAACAGCCCAAAGTGATACAGCAAGGCAGCAAAGACACCAAGATCCAATCCTGCCTCCTTCTGCTCTCAGATCCCAGGTTCAGTTCTGAGACTGTATCTGAGCTCTACTTGTACCAGGCCAGGCAGGCCTGGAGAGGAGCACAGGGGCGAGGCCTTCCTGTCATCTTATTCCAGATCCACAAAGACCAGGCCTCTGATCCAATCAGGCCACATGTGCCTGGCCTGGTTCACACACAGGTCCCCCCCCATGCCCTCCTGCCTGGCCCCAGCCTCAGTCCACCACCCACAATACCTGCTGGACTGCCCGTAGACAGGAGCTGGCAGCCCTAGCATACCTGTCCCCTTGGAAGCTGCAGCTAAGGAAAGAGAGTAAGATGTACCTGGCCTAAAGTCACACAGCCACTCAGGACAGGAAACAGTATTTACCTAACCCAGCATCCATCTAGTTTTCTTAACTATCCACCAGAGGAGGGGAAGCAGGGGCACAGCTGGACTTGTGATGGGTCACCCCCACCCCACCTATTTGTGTTTCTCTGCCACCAAACTGGGCCACTTGCAGGAGGGACTTCATCTCAGCCCTCTCACTTATGCAGTGCCAGCCAAGCCCGGCTCAGAGAGCCTCTACTACCTGCACACAGACCACCAGGCCACAGGTCAAACGAGTTGGCCTCGAGGTTCTGAGACCCATGCACATTTGGGAGGAGCCCAGCTCCCAACTCGCCCCTCAGCCAGTTGTTTACTGGTACCAACTGAGTACCTCCTCTGCCCCAGTCTTGCTTTACATACGTGGCTTGGACTAACTCATTTACTCCTCTCCACAGTCACAGAGGGTGCTACTGGTCTCCCAGGGAGGCAGTAGAGACTCTGAAGGGCCAAGGCACCTGCCTAAGGCCGGAAGGGGTGGGAATGCAGGGAGGTGAGCATCAGGGAAACAGCAAGCATGGTGGATCCCCAAGACCCACAGCCAGCAGTCAAGAGTCCACCTGGCCAAGGGAGGAGTCAGTGGGGAAAGGGGGCACAAACTGTCAGAGAAACCAACAGGCTACAAAAGTGTTAACTACACACCAGCCACCATGCCAGGCTTGTTCAAATACACGATCCTCAGAACCACCCATCTGGGTGGGCAATGCTGCACCCTCATTTGGCAGAGAGGGAAAATAAGGCTCAGAGAGTGTCCCTGCCTACAGCCACATCACCGGTAAAGGGCAAACCCAGGTGTATCCACCCAGACAGCAACTTCTCCCTTCCCAACCCCACAACAGGGTTTGGGCATCCAGGAGGGGTGGGATAGAAGCAGGTATTTAAATCATCCTACAAGAACTACCGCAAGTGGCAGGTTGTCCAGTTCTCACGGGTACTCTCCCAGAAGCCCCTGGTGCTTCCCCCTCCCCTACTTCCTCACCAGAGACCTCTCAAATGGTTAGGTTTTATAAACAAACAAACAAAAAAATCTCCTAATCCTCAAAGTTAAAATTAAACAAGAAACAGAGGTCTGTCCATGAGGGCCATGGCCCCACTCGAGCACCCACAGACCTGCCATCACGTCGGCAGAGGCCTTCTCAGTGGCACAGTGAGGATCCTGGGAGGAGACATGGGACAGGAAGTGGTCAAGAGAAGCGATACATCCCAGCTGGTGGGAAAAATAATCATGGCAGTGAGGAGAGTGCACCCTTGTTGGGGAGCTGTGCTTGGCAACGGGACGCTGGAGGGACCCCAGCCAACAGTGATGGCCACAGGCAAAACCAAGTCCCTGACTCCCTCAGGCCCGTTTCCAGGGTCTTTCCCATCCTCAAAGCACTCAGGAAGCTGAAACCACGCTGAAAGTAGCTGTGCCCAGAGAAGGGAAGTGATTTGCCTGAAGGTGACACAGCAGCAGCAGCAGCAGCCGCAGCGACAGACTTAGGCCTGGCCTTTCCCAACTGGTCAGCTCCAACTGCCAGCCTCAGCTCTTGGCTCAGCATTCATATGCCACCCACCCACCCACCCACCCACAGGGCAGCGAAACACTGCAGAGAATATTACCCCCATTTTATAAAATCTGGAAACCCTGGTGGCATAGTGGTTAACGAAAAGGTTGGCAGTTTGAATCCACCAGGCGCTCCTTGGAAACCCTATGGGGCAGTTCTACCCTGTCTTACAAGGTCCCTGTAAGTCCGAATCGAGTCGACACCAACGGGTTTTTTTGTTTGTTTGTTTATAAAACCTAACCCTGCCTGTGCTGCCCACAGGCCTGCCACAAGGAGAAAGGCAGGCTGGCGATGGCTTGACTGAAAGTGGGTACCTGCACAGGTTCCACGCCCGCTCAGCCCCAAAGCAGCCTGGCTGGGCATTCCCTGCCTTTGCTTGCGGAGGTCAAGACTCACTCCCACATGTCCTGTCTACAACATCCTGGGGCCTGCCTAGCTCCTAGGAAGCCGTTGGGCTGGAATCCTCCAGAGAGTGGGCCAGTTGCAGGCTGCCACTCTTCAGGGACTGGGGCAGGAGCCGGCATACGAGGGATTGCCCCGGGAAGCCGGGGTCCTTAGGGTCCAGCTGCGATCCCCGCAGCCCCACCCGCAGAAGCCCTTAGAAGCCGGCCACAACGACTGGGACGAGGGAGGCTCTCGGGGGTTCCTGGGCCCCTCTTCCACAAACAGCACCTCCCGGACCCATCTCCCTCTGCCAGGAGAAGGGTGACCTTGGGCGCCGGCCGCCTCTCTCTCGGCGTCGGTGTACCCTCCGTCGCAAGGGACCCCTGCCCAGCCGAGCCGGGACTCCCCGACTCGAGGGTCGGGGCGTTGGGGGGAGTCCGATCGGGCGGGGCTTGCTTGGCGGCCGAGGGAGGGCGTGGCGGCGGAGGCCCAGCCCGCTCACCTCTTTGAGCTGCTCCATCTCGCCGCGGATGGCCTCATAGTCCACCTCGAGCTCCTCGAACTGCACCTTGAGCTGGTGCTTCTCCTCAAGCACCGCCAGCCCGTACTCGGCCGCCTGGATCTTCTCGCGCGTGGTCTCGGCCAGCTCGTGGGAGAGCCGCTTCACCTCGGCGCGCAGCCACTCGGGCTGCGCCTCCATCACCAGCCGCGCGTACTCCTCCTCCTCCGAGGGCGCCGACATGGTGGCTCACGGGCGGTAGCTTGAGCCAGCACGGGAACAGACACTTCAGGCCGAGCAGGCGCGGTTCCCTAGCTCCCCCAGAGCTCACCAGTCACCCCCGCCCATCCCCGACGGCCGCCCCGGGCCGCGGACGCGCCGCCGCAGTCTTCTCTTCGCCCGAGGGATTGTGGGGACTGTAGTCTCCACTCGCGCGCCCACTACAAGGCCCATCGTGCCCCGCGCCGCCCCCCTTCCCCCCAGCTGTGATAGGCCCGCGCTGCGACGTAACTGAGCCGAGACCCTGAAGGCTCCGCGACTGAAGATGCTTTCCTTCCGGCGTCGTGGGCCTGTAGGCACGCTCTCTTTGCTGGCTGCAGAGGTCGGAATTGGCTGACGCGCTGGGGCCGGCTGGAGGGGTCTCCGCAGTCCCCAGGACCTTCCGTGGCAGAAGGCGGTGGTCTGGTGCTTTATGTTCACTGGGCATGGAGCTTCTAAGGGGACCTGGCAGGGTTTTTGTGAGGATTAAGTGAGCTCCTCCTAGAATGCGAGGGCGCAGTGAGTCCTGATCGCCGGTGTGGAGAGCAGCTGGCGGTTGTTTTGAAATGTTGCTGTTTTAGCACTTTGAGCCGTCTTAGAGAAATTCGTAGACCGGGTCCGAGGAGGCTCACTGTGGAGGTAAAAAACTAGAACCAACTTCCGTGCACGGCCGCAGGGACTGGCCCAAAATACGGGGGGTAGTCAGCCCCGCTATGTGATTACCCGACAGTTAAATGAGATGGAGGGAGCCCCGAGACATTGTCAAGTGAGAAGTAAATAATAAAGCATTCAGTACTGGATTTCTATACTTCTAATAACATAGGAACAACGTTCTGTGGGAACGTGTATGGACCTAAATGTTGAAACAAGCTGCAAGAGAACACACCAAAATGATGACAGGTTAGCAGAAGGAGTATGTGGGTAGGGATCAAAGAGAACTTTAGCCCCAACTACGACTTTCTTTTATAACCTCTGAGTACTTCAGGGTGTATTTCCTAAAAATAAAGGCATTTACATAACCACAGTATAATTATCAAATTCAGGAGATTGAACATTGATACAGTACTGTTGGAGCCCTGGTGACACAGTGGTTAAGAGCTCAGCTGCTAACCAAAAGGTCGGCGGTTTGAATCCACCAGCCACTCCTTGGAAACCCTATGGGACAGTTCTCCTCTGTCCTAATGGGTCGCTATGAGTTAGAATTGACTCAACAGCAACAGGTTTACAGTACTATTATCCACTGTCCATATTCCAATTTCATTGATGTCCCAATAGTGTCTTTTATAGCTTTTTCCCCCCTCTATCCACGATCCAATCTAAGATCATGCATTGAATTCAGCTGTCATGTCTCTTTAGCCTCCTTTAATCTGGAAGTTTCTCAGTCTTTGTCTTTCATGACCTTGACCTTTCCCAGATGGTACCCCTTCTGCTAACTTACCATTGTTTTGATGTGTGCTCTTGCAGCCTGTTTCCTCAACATTTATGTCCATAAAAGTTCCCACAGAACATGTTAGAACATTGTTCTATGTTTTTAGTAGAAATCTAGAAATCCAATACTGAACGCTTTATTATTCTCACTCGACAACGTCTTGGGGCTCTTTCCACCTCATTCATTTTAACTGTCAGGTAAAGTCCAATTACTTGCACACTGTCCCTCAATTTGAGTTTATCTGATGTTTCTTCGTGGTTAGATTAAGGTTATACATTTTTGGCAGTAGAGTCACAGAAGTGATGCTGAGTTCTCTATATATTATATCTGGAGGTATACAATGCTACTTTGTCCCATTACTGCTCATGTTAACTTAGATCAGCTAAGGTGGTGTCTGCCAGGTTTCTCCACTGTACAGTTCCGTTTTGTAATTAGTATCATATGAGAAGACCATTTGAGACTTGTATCTTTGAGATTTGTGTCAATATTCTCTTACTACTCAAACTTTTACCCATTAGTTTTACCATTAATTGATGATACATCTTGCCTGAATTAATTATTACCATACTAGTTGCTTTTCTAGTCCCATCATTCCTTCTCTGTTAGTTTGTACTGTAAGGAAAATATTTCCCTTCTCATTCATTCATTATCAGTATGGATTCATGGATTATTTGGCCAGTGAGAGCTACTCCAAGCTGGCTCCTGTGTCCTTTGAACATGTCATCATTTTCAAGCCCTGTCTTACCTTCTGGCACAACAAGTTGTTCTGGGATCATCTTGTCCTTCTTTATAATCAGCCATTTCTCCAAGGAGCCATGACTACTTTTAGTCATTTAATGTTTTATTTTTATGAAGAGAATGTGTCATATTTGTGAAATCAAAAAATACTTTTTAAGGAGATCAACCATAGTAGAAGTAGGATGACCAACCATGCTGGTTCGCCAGGACTGTCCCAGTTTTAGCATTGAGAGTCCCATATCCTGGGAAACCCCTCAAGCCTAGGCAAACCGGGACCGTTGTTGGCCTAAGTAGGAGAGATCCTAGGGCAAAGAAGGGGAGAGGGAACGAGCCTTGTTTGAGTAAGTTCCCCCAGTGTAGGAGGAAGGACTGATGCTCCCAGAATCAGTGACTTGCTCAAGGTCACACATCTTCAGTGGCAACTCCCATAGCCTGTCTTCAGTGCCACTTACTCTCACCCCCAGTCTTCATATGGGACTGACCTAAGGCGGGCAAGGGAAAGAACCATGGGGATCTGGTGCAGGGGAAGACCACAGAGCTTTGAACTGAGAGACAGGGTGGTGGTTGGAAGGGGACAGAGTAGACCTCACATGCATTCAGGCTACAGGCAGGGACTTTTCTAGGTGCTGGGGACACAAGGACCTATCACAAGCAGCTAGTGCTTCCAGCAAGAAAGACAACAACTCTGGTGTCAAGGTTTGAGCTGTGAGGGAGGAGTCTGGCAGTCATGACGTGACAGTGTTATGAGGGGGGATCAGGAGGGGCTTCCCTGAGGAGGTGACACCTGAGCAGAGACCCAAGTTGGCCAGTCCACAGCTGCCATGATAGGGGGACTCACAGGAGCAAGAGGAACAGGGTAGTTTTACACTCACCCAGGCAGCGGGGTGCCCAGCATTGCCAGGTCCTTGACACACATTTTCTCATTTTGTCTTCACCACACCCTGAGAAGCGGGGATTACTCCATCTGTTTCACAAATGAGGACACTGAGGCCCAGGGCAAAATCCTTGTGGTTACCCTTGACTTCACACTCCCCCATCCCCACCCAGTCTGTCATCAAAGGCTGTCTACCTGAGCTCAGAATAAACCGGAATCAGACCCTTCTCACCTCCCCCAGTGACTCTCCCTGGACTAAGCAGCATCACCTCCTAACTGGACTATTACAGTCACCGCCTCACTGGTCTCCCTGCCCTCTCCTCTTCCTACCCTCTACCAAGTCTATTCTCTGCACCCAATGTGGTCACGTCCCTCCTCAAAACCCTTCTAGAGTCGCTCAAATCTCTACAGCAACCTCCAAGGCCCTGCTGACCTGACCCCTCTCTGACCTCTCCGCCACTCTCCCCCCTCTCACTCCCTTCCAGTCATGTAGCCTCCCTGCCTCCAGCAAGGGCCTTTGCTGTTCCCTCTACCTGAGTGGCTTGTTTCGTCACCTCTACTCAGCTTTCTATTCAAATGCCTCCTGCACCCTGTTTCCCTTCCCTACTTTATTTTTCTCCATAGTATACTGTATGTTTTACTTATCTACCTTTTCACCATCTGTCTTCCCCACTAGAATGTCAGCTCCATGAGGGCAGGGATCTTGGCAAGACCTTGATCTTTCCTCACCCGTAGCATGTGCACCAGTGTTCATGGAAGGCGTAAACGAATGAAGAGACATTGAGTAGCTCAGCCAAGGTCCTACAGTGAGTTAGATAGAGACACAGGCATGATGCTTGTCTTAGTCATCTAGTGCTGCTATAACAGAAATACCACAAGTGGATGGCTTTTAACAAAGAGAAATTTATTCTCTCACAGTCTAGTAGGCTACAAGTCCAAATTCTAGGCATCCGCTCCAGGGGAAGGCTTTCTCTCTCTGTCAGCTCTGGAGAAAGGTCCTTGTTATGCATCAGTCTTCCCTTGGTCTGGGAGCATCTCAGCACAGGAACCTCAGGTCCAAAGGACGCGCTCTGCTCCCGGCACTGCTTTCTTGGTGGTATGCGGTCCCCATGTGTCTCTGCTCGCTTCTCTCTTTTATATCTCAAAAGAGACTGGCTTAAGACACTACCCAATCTTGTATACCTCATCAGTATAACTGCCACTAATCCATCTTATTACATCGTAGTGGTAGAGTTTATAACATAAGGAAATCACATCAGATTACAAAATGGTACACAATCATACAATACTGGGAATCATGACCCAGCCAAGTTGACAGACATTTTTGGGGGACACAATTCAATCCATGACAATGCTGAAATCCAGGATGTCCTCACCATTCTCCACTCCCTGGATCCCAGACACTTGCTGACTGAAAGACAAGGAATGCCCAGGAGAACTGAGGTAGCTTTAGTAGAGGAGGGGAGAACACAGGATAGGTGGTGGTGGAAACTTAGGGAATACCAGGGACACATGCAGTGGCTTCATCCCATCAAGAGCAACTGGACCGCTGAGCTAGGGGGACTGGAAACAAAGGAAAGTGACGTTCCTCCCAGCCAACCACACTGCTTTTGTAAGCCAAGGTTCCCTGGGTCCTCTGACCCTTCCCTGTCCCAAGTGAAGGCTAGCAAGATCCTCAGGCATACAGCTGGGTCATGCTTGGGCTTGACCTAGGTGTGGCAGCTCAGCCCCTGCCCGCCTTCCTCCCCATTCCCTTTAGAGCCCTGCCTGCCCATGTGAGTCCCTCCTTCCTGGAGTCCTGTCCCCTTTGCCTATGCCTGATTGTGCCCAGCACCTCGTAGAACAGGGTCCCACAGAAACTGAATCCAAAAGTACAGGCTTCACAATGGTTCCCCATTGTTGGAGTGAGGCCCTCCATCCTCGTGGTGGGCTGAGAAGCAAAGCTATCTTTCTTTTAAGTGGTAGCCCTCCCAGGTGCACTTAGGCCCTCCCGCCTGCATGGTGAATCACTTGATATTCCTACCTGTTCATGCTGTGTA